CTCCACTTGGAGACTGATATTTTGTCAGTACTTTTTCTCTAACGCGAACAAAAAGAATGTTATTTAGTTCTTGTGTCAGAGATTTTGATTGCATCTGCCTTGGCCTTTTATAATTTCATTTTGAAGCGTCAACATTACAAATAAATTACATACTTGTCAGTTTGTAGGTATTGCCTGTGCATAAGTTTTATAAATGGTTTACATTGTACAGTAAAAGAAATTCCCATATTTCAGTACTTTTAACATTTTCACTCTCTCGGCCTTCAATATTACTAGATGCTGAGCATGGCGCTCAAGTGCTTCACTTCCATAATGCATCTTTGAGGATTCTTCTAAAGAGGATTCACAGAAGATGGCTGATAATTATCATTGCTTTCAACAAAAATGGTTGTCTTTCACTGAAGAATCTGTCAAATCAAAGGCTGGAACGGGTTGTCATCGTGGTGTATGCTAACTTGCATGACTGACTAATGGTGCAAGTGTAATTTAAACTGCCCATACAAGATGACATTTCACTAACCACAAAACATTCACTATTTGCTAATTACAACTAGCAGGTTCTTAGCAGGCTGATGTTTTTAATTAGAGCTTATACATTGATATATTTTTTTTCCTATTGTTTAGAAGTTAGACAGTGCCCTCTCCTGGACATAGGTTCCCATAGCAGTAGTTTGTAAAGTGCCCCAAATGTTGCCAATTAGAGAAAATGGACACAAAAATAGTGTGTTGCTCTGCTGAAGGGATTTGCTGGTTTCAAGGGAGTACACTTTGTTGTGGTCCCGCCTTGCATTCTGCTCTACTTGAAAGCATACTGTGTAACAAAAATTGTTCTCAGTTTAGATGGCAAAGAGCTTTTGATTAATCTAGCTTGAACTCAGTTGGCTGGAGTTGACGGTGCAACTTTATCACAGTGAGCAGCAGGAACATGTAGTGCTATATATTCCAGTTTTTACAAAAATCAGCTCAATACAGTAAAAGCATATTCATCTTCAGAAATAAGGGTATGGAGGAATATGCATTTGAATCTTACTTTTTAGATGTTGTTTTACATGTCTTTATTGTATTATTTCACAGTAAAAAAATGATAACTATACTAAGAAGTCAGAAGGGTGACTTTTCTCTTTATCCTTTCTTAAGGATGTTTGGTTTTTGTTTTTTTTTTGGGGGGGGGGAGAGAGGGAAGGATGGTGTTAATAAAACCCCTAACACTATCAGTTTAACTCAATAATTCTAATCTCATGCCTTTGGACTTTTCCAGGGTCCGTAAAAAAAAACAGTTTACCCAGGACATAACTTGAGACAGAACATTCTCAAGATTTACAACATCTCAAATCAAACAGGAGAGAGAGAGAGAGAGAGATTTCCCTAGTAGTTAATTTAAAACGTGTATTGAAATTCCTTCAAAGATAGACTATAAAACTGTAATAATCCAACATTTACAGCAAAATTTAAATTAATGGCATAGAAAGCATTACATCAAACTTTTACAGCTTTCAAATCACTTCTATAGTTTTTCTCAGCACAGAAAACATGGAGAGAAGTAGCTGTGTAGGGTTAACTGTAAGTCATTTCTACTAAGTGGTCGACAAGTTGTTTTATACATTAGCTTAAACAAGAAGCAAAGTAGCTCTTGTATTTATTTACCTAAATTTTGCACCATTTCTAAAAATCTGAAGACTTCTTAAAAACAGACTGCCCATGTAGAACAGACACTCTGTGACCAACTCAGCATCTTCTGACTGCTCACTTCAAAGGTGCACTTCTAGGGAAAACTGCAGCCCATCCTGCAGCATGCACTCGCTCCCATGAGGGCACCTCTGGAGCAGAGATCAAGATGCGCTCCCAAAATACTCTGCGCACTCATAGTATCGCCCTTCAGTCAGCCTTTGCCCATTACTTACATGTGCCTGCAACTGTGAGCGCACTCATAGTATCGCCCTTCAGTCAGCCTTTGGCCATTACTTACATGTGCCTGCAGCTGTGAGCATCTCTGCTCCACCAAGTGATCTCCACTGCCCTCTGCAAAGAGCTTTCAGCTCTGGAGCAACAGACCTCCTCATTAATGGTCACAGTTGGTCATTAGTTGGTCACTGAATCTTTCTTGATGACCTACTAATGAACTTCCTGCTGGCTTATTGTGAAGATGGGTCAAGGTAGACAATGCAGGTAATTTATAGCTCAACACCTGGCACGCTAATGACCTTTGCTCAGAGACTGTAATTGACACAGTACTACTAAGAGATATTACATCCTTCCTGATTTATTTCTCAGATGTAAATGTTTCATGTTGAATGGAAACTTTAGATCCTGTGTTTAAAAATATGTTTACATATTTTATTTAAGGGGGAAATTTCTTCAAGAATTTAATGAGGAAAAAAGCCTTAATCTTACAAACTCTTTTTTTCTGACATTTTTTGCCCTTAACAAAAGATGTTTATTTTTAAAGAACAAACCTATGTGCATTAATATTCACCTGTAAAAGGCTCAGAGGCCTGTACAGTGCAAAAAAATCAGCTCTCAGTCAGTGCCTGTTAGCCGCAGGAGCCTGGAGAGCTTTCATGGTTCAGCACCTGTGGTGCTTAATCTCTGTGAATCATGGATAAGTTGGCCAGAAGCTACAGTCCCTCCAGCTGTGTTCTTGCCAGCTCTTAAAAGCTAAAAAGTTTCAACTGAGCCTTGACTTGGTGGGAAAGATCCCGAAAAAGCACAAGAAGTGGCAATGATGCATTAGGTAGCCACTCTTCTCTCTAAGACTGGATAATGTCATAGGGGTTATCCAATTTTCACAGAAGCCTGCTTTTGCTTTAGATGTGCAGATAACTTCTCCCATTTTTAGAGCCCACCAATGCTGTGGTTATTAGGCATTTACAGCCCTGAACATATGCTAGATTGGAAGACTGTGGCCAAGATATTCATATTCCTTTAAGGTTTTGTATTTTCATTTTCACATGTATCATAATTATGACTAAAAAAAAAAAAAGTTAGTTTATATCTGCTATGTAACTGCTATAAGAAAGTGGACTTGGATCTGTTAAAGTGCCCTGGGCACGACCAGGAAGTTTAACACATTCCATTACAGATTTTCATGCACTTGACCCATGTTAAGCATTGTCCCAACGCTCATCTCATTCCCTGAAAAAGGCTTCAAGATTCAAAAATTTCTCTCTCCAGTGCTTCCAAATGGCATGTCTTGAACTGTGTAGAGATTGAAGCGTAGCATTTCCAGGGAGGTGTCCTGACCATTGCTCCCTGGCCTATGGAAACAGGAGCTGTCATTGTCTTTAGGAAGAGAGTTTTTGTCCTCTCACTGGAGGAAATCTTCAATTCATGTTTGGTAACTTTGCTCTAAATGAGATGAGATTATCAAAATGTCTCATCAGTCAGAGATTCGATGTCATACCTTTTGATTATGAATGACACCCTCCTCTCCATCCTGATTTCAGGTTCTGGGCTACTTCTGTTTCCTTAGCAGGCATTACTGTCAAAGGTGTTCATGAAATTACTAAAAGCAACTCAGTTCCTAAACAGCTTATGAAAGCAACATAGGTCGTACTTGCCTTGATGTTGCATGTTTTAATTACAAACATTTGATTATGCACCTTTTATGGCATGGATGTAAGAGTTCCAAGTCAGATAGAGGAGTCAAATGCTTTTAGGGAAAACCACAAATCATTTCAGATAAATAAGACATTTATTTAATAATTACTCATCTTCTTGTTATATAGCGTCCTGCACTTCATGCATACTAAAAGGTAAATAAGCTGTTCAAATATTAATGTCATATGTTTAGGAAGGACCAAGTCCTGACCAAACAACGTATTTTTAAGGAAATTTATTGAACCCAGATGGACTTCTCATGGCATTTCATTACAAAATGAAGTATTGTTAACAATGCATCTTTTTTTCTTTTTTTTCCCCAGGAGCTGTGGTCAGTCAGCTTTAAAATCCTAACGTCAAAAATTTGAAGTGTAAATAAAATATGAGTTTAGTCTCAGCAGTAATATAAACTCCATGGAAATACTCTTCTCAGGGGGGCAAAAAAACACTCCTTAAATCACAACACTTCCTTAAATCACTGTGTAATTATCCACTAAAGAAATGCAGACACCAGTTTAGAAGAGTTGGTGCATGTTGAGACAAACACCTTTACAGGATTGAATGAGATGTCTTTAACTACATGGCTGTCCTCTAGTTTTGTCCAATCTTGCCAACACACAAAATGCGTGTGAAGTACTGTTTTGATCCCTGTATGTGCTCTAGCTGAAACCCCAAAGCCAAGTGGTACTAGCACAATGTAAGATTATACCATGAAAATAAACCAAACTGAAGGCATATGACATTTTAATTTTTCACTGTAACAATTAAATAAGTAATGCTGCACACATTTAGGCTTTCTGCTCCTTGCTGCAGGTACCTAATGGTTATTCCCATTCATATAGCAAGATGTGTCCCATGATGTACAGAATGAGTTCACGTGTTCTTTTTTCAAGTTTCACTGTTTAATACTTTCCTGCAAAGAAATTTAACAAAAAGGACTGTCCCTTGGAAATGGTACCATACAGGAATCTATCAGCCTCTTTACAGAAACCATTGCAAAGCTGAACTAACACAGATGTGATTACGTATCTATTTTACCCAACTTTTACCTATTTTCAGAGAAAACGTGGAAATCTTTGGTTAAGTTAGCTCTTTTTGAAAAAGCATAGTCGTTTGTTTCCTTACCAAACATAGAAATCTTGCTGAAAGAATACAAAATTGAATCCCGCTCTTAGGTAACATTTAATTTCATTTTTATTGTATTTATTTTCAGAAATATATTGAACACGAGTGGCAAGACAAGAAGATACTTTTGGACATTTTCAACAGCAGCTAGAAATTGAGGGCCTCTACAGACATATATATATATATATTTTTTTTAAATCAACAAAAGCAACTGATTGAAAAATGAAACTTTTTTACAAATTTTGAAATAACATATTTTATTACATTCTTTGTAACAGGCGGTTCTGCTAATCTAACCTGCCGAGCTTTCTTTGGATATAGTGGAGATGTCAGTCCTCTAATTTACTGGATGAAAGGGGAGAAGTTTATTGAAGACTTGGACGATAGTCGAGTCTGGGAAAGTGACATCAGGTAAAAGAAAAAGCTTTTTGTTTTTTCAGTCAATAACTTTTTTTTAATAGTTAATGTAATACTTATTATCACAAACTAACTCAAGAGCACCTTGGGTCTGATCCCTGTTTCTGCAATATCCATTCTTTGCTTTTTCAATTCCACTAGCAGAGAACAGAAAAACACACACCTCTGCCAGATCTGATGTTACAGAGCCAAAAGCAGAATAGCTGCCCAACAAGTACCGTAGAGTAACCGACCGGAATTTGCATAGTGACTTTTTCAAACAGTTACTTAAATGAAATAAAGAAAAATAAATACATCAAGGAAAGCAGCTCAAAAGAAGTCTTTTAAAACATGGAGCCTTAAATAAATGCTGAAATCTGGCTTCTCTTTTGAATTGTTTTGATTTCTTTTCTTCAGGGAAAAAATCGAGTTTTCTGGGATGTTATCTGGCCTGTGAGAGCCAAGTATCCTGTTATGTGGGTTGCTTATACCTACTGAATTATTTAGTTTAGAGAAGATCTGCCCATGTGTGTCGTGTACTTTTATTGCTACTAAAAGTGCTGCCCCATTTTAAAATTAAGAAAAAAGTGGGTTTGTATTAAGAATTGTATGGTTGACATAGTGTACCAACTGCTATCCTATATGAAATATCTACTTGAATTTCAAGAGAATCCTTTTGCATTTATAATTCTGTATGTGTATATCACTATGCGTATATATCACAGATAAACTCAGAAATTAAGGCAAATCTAAATGTGTTACAAAAGAAGATAAATAATCACAGAGGTGTTATCTACAGTGATTGTCTACAATAGAACAAAACGAGCTTATTTACATTTCACTTCTTACATAGGAATTTAGTACCTCATCAAAAGACGTGAAGTCACGCTCATTTTCAGCTTTACCTTGGACTTCCTCAGTGTGACCAAAGTAACAGACAATTCCTTTACCAAAATCAAGAAGACTACATAGACTTCCAAAGTCATCTCGATGTCCCCAGATACAGGCAAAATGGAAGCATATTTCACCCCAGTGTACTTTAAGTTTATTCAATAAAGCTCTAGACGAATACATTAAATTGCACATAACAACCACATCAGCTGTATTTCACATCTAAAGCTTTTCCTAAGCCCTTCAGCCAGACTTAGCATTCTGAAGGCTGATAAAAAAGGCGATAAGAACCTCATTACAACTTTCTCATTTTGTGGAGGGAGAAGCAGGAAGGCTGGTTACCACTTCTTTTGTCAGATGTGATGTGGAGGAGCAGCCTAGAGTGGTTTGTCTTTTGCTTTTCTGTGTTTCTAAATCCTAATCTAAATCTAATCCATGATGGTCGTGCTAAGAGGTAAAGAAAGCAAAGTGAAGACAGGTGGAGTCTTATGCAGGAGATCTTGTCTTTTATTTATCATCTGTATGAACGTGTGGCATCTTGAACACCAGGTCTTTCTACTGGTTTATAACACAAAGACAAATTTTGTAATACATTCAAGAAATAACTTGTCAGACCCTGGCATGAAGACACTGTTTCTGAGCAACATGTTGAAGACCCTCAGAAAGTGCACATATAGTGTGTTTGGCCCAGATTCCTAGTGTGACTCTAAATCCCAAAATAACTGTCTTCACTTTTCTAACATTTCAACATTTCACGTACTGATCAGGGTCTCCAGCAGAGCGTGCAATAATATATTATCAGTGCGCACATCATCTTGCTTAAAGAAGACAATTAACTGATGCTCTCATTAACATTTACAAACCCAAACCTCCTCATTAGAAGTGAGGAAGAAAAGGGCATGTTATAATTTAATTAAGATTTCATTAAACCATAGCCAAATTTGAAGCCAGAGAGTTGTGAATTGTAAGTAGCATTATTATGTCATGATTATCTAATGCTCCGCTATGATACAAGCAGAATAGCAGCGATGATTGTTTTTTCTCAGGGTTCTTAAGGAACATCTTGGGGAACAGGAGGTTTCCATCTCGTTGATTCTCGACTCTGTGGAAGAGGCAGACCTGGGGAATTACTCATGCTATGTCGAGAATGGAAATGGACGTCGACATGCCAGTATTCTTCTACATAAAAGGGGTAAATATGCAGCTTTTCCCCATGAAATAGTAAATTATGAGGGTGGTCAGTTGGTAGAGCTTCCTTCTGATGTAAGTATGAATTTTGGCTTTCTGAGATATTCATAGGCAATGATTATTTTTCCCTGGGCATCTATACAGCTTTCAAAATAAAACAGAAAGGTTGTTATTAACTATGACTGTCACTGGGAAAAATACAGTAATACCTTTTAATTATATTTATAGAAAATATGTATTTACTAATTCATGAACTAATAAAACCTCTATAGAGAAAAAAAAGGAAGCTACAGGTAATACAATTGTAATAATTTTCTGTAAGAAATCAAATATTAGAAAAGCCAAGAAAATACATTCAATTATATCAGAAATGCCACCCAAACCCCATGCCAGAAGTGTTCCTGCATAGCCTGACTGTGGACATTTTCCTTCTAACACATTCGTTTAACAGCAATGTTTCTGAAGTGAAGTATCATGACAGAAACTTCTAAGGACCTTCCTGTTTCTACTCACCACTCACATCCCATGATTCCAGCCTGCCTAATGGCCACAGCCATCTCCCACAGAGATAATTATGGAGAAGTGGAGAATCTCTTGCAAAGCAAGGTTCCCACATCCACTTTGTTCACTTTACCTCCCAGAGAGTGCTCCACATGCCTGGGCTTGATGCTCCCCACCCTCATGCAGCATCCCACTGGTTTAAGAGAGCAAAGAATAATCAGGAGCAGTGTCTATACTTCGTTGTCATTACTGTGCTTTTTTCAGACTGTTTCTTAAAGGTGAGCAAACCAGGTTCTTACTGTCATGCTGAACTGCTTGTGGCATCTCAATTTACATCAAAGCAGTGACGTCTTCCCTAGTTTTAGTCTTGTAGTACGCAAAGTCTCTCTAAGTTTAAAGGGAAGTCATAAATCAACATAGTGTGACTCATTTATTGAAACATATTTTTTGTACCTCCAATTAAATTAATAGAAGTAATTTGTAGTAATTTTTCTGAACTCTTGTCATTGCTTCTTAAAAAATGTAGATCTAAATAACCAGATGTTCTGCTTAGCCTGGCATTTGCCATATTTTCTTGAATTTACTGAAATGGGAAATTAACTTATTAAGTAAATTACTTAACCTCAACAGTTTACCAGCTAGTAGTCATACACTCCTAATTCAGAGGTGTTTGAACCCAGAGCAAGAGCTTAACCCAACCAACACTGAAATCCAACGGCTTGTCTTTAATAATGAAATTACTACATAGAAGACTGAAAATAAAGAATTTTTTTAAGTCTTAAATTATTTTAAAACTGATACCTAATTAACTGATGTGTATTAAGTCACATGCTGATGGTGAGTCCTTATTTTCCCTTCCATACAAGTAGTAGCTCTGAGACTGGCAACACATAAGTCTTTTCTGTTCTGTCACCACCAGCTTTTTAATCTAATAGTGTGCGTGCATAAATTTTGCAAGGGTCTACTTTCCTTGCTGCCTTTCTTGGAGAAATTGGTATGTCAAACACACCACAGTATGTGGCCTCATGATGACATGCTTAAGAGGAAGTAATCTCAATATTTAATTGCCCTTATAAATAGCAAAAAGCTACAAATAGAAAAAGACTCCCCTCATTTTTTTTCTTTTCCTTTTTAAATAAGGCTGAATCTGAAATTGTGATTTGGAAATAAAATCTGTTGTGCCCTTGAAAAACAAAGGATACTTGTTACAAGCCTTCTACATACTTTGCATGTTGACAACTGTTTCAGTGAAATGATAAATTAACCATGACAGATAAAAATTTGAGCTAGTCTCTCAGGTCTCATAGGAAGAGGAGCTTTGCACTGCTTGCTTAGTCTCCTGTATATCACCATGACAACACTTTGTTTTAGGTTTCCCTGTTTAGATCCACATTTAGTCTCTGCTAGGGATGAGTTGGCTGTTTATTAATTTCTGATTATTGGGTCAATTGGAACAACTGGGACCTAACAATTAGATATATTTGCTTCCTGAACACTGAGGCATTTGCAGAGGTATTAGTTTTGGCTGGCTTTCTAGCTAGTGATCTTTTTTCCCAGTGGTATAAGTCTAGAAAAATGCTGAATCTGGAATGTTCACTGGATACTCGCAAAAAGAAATCGCAAATCTTCTTAAACTTCATATGTGGTACGCTATCACCAGTGTCAGAAAGGACAGGAAAGCAGGAAGCTCTGTTACTCAACAAAGAGCCTTCCTGGGAAAAGAGGTATTTAGGGCTAAACGCTGCAGTGGGGGTTCAGGTACCAGATTTGAGCCTTTCAAACACCCTTGCAACTGCTGCTTCAGCCCAGTCAACATGTTCTCTGTAAACTTAAGCTTCCAGGGGAAGCTTTTGGATATGCCTGCAATTACAGGAAACGCAAGCAGGATCCATCCTGTGGTGGTCCCCACCACAAAGCAGCACCTGGCGCATTCAGCTGGGGAGAGGGTCTTCTGCTCCTTCCCTGGTGTGGCACTGGAACAGAACCCTGGGGCCTCTCCTTTCCTGAGAGGAATTCTGGGAGGGGAGCAGAACACAGCTACCCTGGGCTCCAGCACCACTAGTGCAGGAAAAGCCAACCCAGCCCAGGCCTCCAGCCATGGGAGGACACTGGGGCATGGCACCTCCCTCTAGCCCGGGCATCAGCTCTGTGCATCTCGGGGAGCTCAGCACCCATCTTCTCCTGAGTTTCTGCTGCTTTCTGACTGCCAGTGCAGAAAACTGATGGATGTTTTTGTGCATCCAGCTAACCATTTTGAGACTCTCAACTTTCTTCAGATGCTGTGTGTAGGGAGCATTTAACTCAGAGCTAAAGGCAGTAAAGCATTTTAAGTATGGCAATGCTAATGCTGTTTCCTTTTCTGGTCAATTTCTATAACATTTTTCCAAAAATAATCAGAAAAAGAGAGGGATCAGAACCCAAGAGATTTAGCTTTCATTCTCTTCTGCCAGCTGTTGGCCAAATCTCTTTCTATCACCTTTACAATAATCAAGTTATTTTCTCTTGTGTGGGAGCAAAAAAAAAAAAAAAAAAATCTGCTTCTTATAATCTAAGGCTGATTTTGTTACTTATTGGTGATAGCTATCATCGATCATCTGTAGCAGTTACAGGTTAATCTTCAGCCAGGTAGAGGAACCTTCTAGAAATTAATTTTGAGAGTGGTACTGGCAGCAGCTAAGCACAAATTTATTAATGACAGACCACATATTGCAAATGATATAAGGGGTGGATCATACACTATAATTCTATTTTTTTCATAGGTTTTTAACTCAAGAAGACAAGCCCATAGTCTATCAACATAACAGACAAAAATGTAATGCATAAGGAGAAAGAATGCTCTTCTATGATATTACGTATTGAAAAGTATGACTTTCATGCTGGATCAAAGCCTTCGTAGTCTCATTTAATCGTAAACTATGTTGGAAATACAGATTATTATCTAATTATGTGATTATTTTTTGTTGAAATTCTTGGTTGCATGTCTGCAGCTAGAAATCTAAAGCAAAAATAATCTCAAATTCTGTCTTGGTATTATTTTGATAATGATATCGATATTATTTTAAAAGCTTAATAGTATACCTGTATTTTTCATGGGACAGACACCAGAACTAAGAGCAGGTAACACACTTTATGTATTTTTTTCGAAGTATCTCCTTTGCTTTCTTCTCATTTTCTCAGTGCTGTCTAGTTTCCTGCCCTGGGCCTCTTTTATGTTTTGGATTTAATTTCCTCTGTCATAGGTGTTGTCAATGGGAATATATAGGTCTTATTGACTATAAACTAATGAGGGATGGTTAAAACAATTTTTTTTTTCTGTTGGGTCAAAAAAATAATTTAACTGAAATGAATTTTTTAGAGGAAGAGGTTGATTCTGTTTGAAATTGCCCATGAAATTGCACATTAGTACTTCGCATAGGAAAGACAACTTAAGGAAACCTATGAATAGGTAGGGGTACTTTAAACTCATGATTTATTAATGCATAAACATAATATTAATATTTCTTGTACCATTTAATAGCAAATTCTGAATAGCAAGTAATTCTGAATTTTCTTCATATGGTTATTAACGGTAACAGAATTACTGACAATTACAGTGTCATTTACATAATAGTGTAAAACTGTGTATTACTTAAGGACTTGAATAAGTTAAGTTTTTGATCTCGTGAGCATTTTCAGTCACTAGGACATGATTTCACGCAGTGGTAGTGATGAGTGATAATTGAGACTTAAAAGAGAAAAGAAACTAGTTCTTTTCTAACCTCTGCAAAGTAACTGCAGGTGTTAGAGATTCCTTTGCCATAAAGCTTCACGATATTTTTGAAATTTTTGAATGGGAGTTTGTCATGTGAGAAATGAGAGCAATGACTTCTATATTTCAACTTCTGTTAATTGATCCTAATTACCTGAACATTCCAGCAAATCTCTGAGTCTCAATGGAAGCAAAACTGCTGTAAAACTCTGACCTGCTTAGTCACTTAAAGCCTTACACACGTATCTCTTCCAGCATACAAAGCATTCAGTTTTTATTCTGCACTGCAGAAAAAGCTTTTTTTCACCAGGGTTTAGAATTAGAATATAAATTGGATTTGATTCAATGGGAATTGATTATTCATTCCCCTATGGCCATTGAAGAAGCCTTCAAGTTGTCACTGTCCTGGACGGTGCAAAGGTTCAGTCACCCAAGAGGTTTATGACACGGGGCCAAAAGTTGAATATCGCCTCCCTTCCTGTCCCAAATCTAACTGAAAGTGACTGTTGTTTTAACATTCAATCTCATCTAAAACCAGTAAATTAGTAGAATACTAAAGACTACTGCCTGATAGAAGCTCTTCATAAGACCATTTTCTTCATCAGGAAGGTTTTTCTCATCTAAGAGACGTCTCCAGTAAAAAGGTTAGTCAGATTAATTAGCATGTGCCTAAATCTAACTTTCCTCTGACAAAGTGTCAAACAAGTTAGTTCATTTAACAGATTCCTTTTTAAAACAGCTTTTGTACCACTTTT